GAGGAAGCAGCAGAAGAGCCGCATGGACAAACGCTACTTCAGGTGTTGCGCCAGGCCCGAGGTTATAAACTTTAGATTTAAATTGTCGCTGAAATGTAGCAACCAAAGCAATCAGCAACATCATTTCTGTATCTCAGGAGGGCCAAGCGCAAGTCGGAGACGGCAGCTTCCTCTGCTGATGCCTCGTGGTTTCCAATCGGCGCACTGCTGGCCATAGAGAAGATGCACGCAGTATATAAAATAATGATGGAGTACCGCAGCGAAGAGAACAACAGTGGATGCGTGGACCAGCGCGAGGTCTGCGAGAGCACCCTCGAGAACAACGGTGGGGGCGCGGACCAATGCGAGAACTGCGAGAGCACCTTCGACTGCGGCGCGCCGCTCACGGGAGTTTGCTTGCACGATCGCCCCTGTGGCATGCACGCCCACTGGGCGCGCATCGAGGAGGATTGCGGATGTGGCATCGTCGGCCCGTGCCCCGTCATTGGCTTGTGTGGAGCACATCGTTCACGAGACGGCCTGTTGGCTCAACAACAGGGTGCGTGGGCGAACGCTTCCGCCAGCGCCCTGTGCATGCCGCCGCACAGGGTTCGTGCTATAGATACTTTATCTCGAGATCTGAATGAGGTTTACACTTGTCTCACACGCGCATTGCGTGCGCACGATCTTCCAATCTATTGCACGGCGGACGTCCCTTTGTGGATTCTGGAAGATGGCAACAAGCTTTTGCGGCACCTGAACTACTACATCAAGCCAACGCTCAATAATGAATTGGCACGGGTGCAAGATGGTCAATTCATCGTTTATTTTCGCAACAAAGGAGATTATGAAATTTTGGGTGGCATTTTATACCATTTCGAAGCTATCAAAAAGAGCGGTGGAGAAATTTATCGGCATCGCGATAATGAGTGGAGGCTGTGGAATTACGACATATTCTTGGTTATTTTGTCGCTGTACGATTACAGAGTTTTCCAGATATTGTTTGCCGGGCCTTTTTGCATTCCAGATTTGTCTGATGATTTACGTTTTGATGTCTGTGGAAGCATGGACGATGCAGGTGCAGGAGATATTCTTTTGGGCGGCATGCGATCACCGGAAGCGGGCTCTTCGCGTGCACCGCGGCCGATGAGTCCGTGCTCCGCGCGCATGCCAGCGTCTTGTGCGTGTACGGGGACGGCGCTTGGCAAGCATACAACGGCGTGTTTGCAGAATCCGTTCTTGCCAGATGCAGATCGTACTTGCTTCATCTCGAAGGTGCCTTTCTCCTATTGTCGACATGGCCTAGGTCTGCGTCGGACGAAGTCTTCCTGCAGCGACTGCGCCAGCTTTGGCAGCAAATCTCCGGGCTTGATTCGGCCAAGTTTCTGTGGGCATGCAGGGCGCGAGTAGCGCTCGGGCTTGCCGCCGGCGGCGCTGATGCAGAATCGGGCGAAGCGAGCGCACTGGGGGCCGACGACCCTGGCCACGGCGCGGCGGGGCCCTCGCCCGCGCCCGCGGCCGCAGACCCTGCCGGCGGGGCCGCGCCGGCGGCCGCGGGCGCCGGCGGCGATGGCGACGCGCCTGCGGCGCCCGCAGACGGGCCGCAGGGCGTCTTCGTGGGCAAGACTATGCAGAAGGTATCGGCGGCTCTCCAGCAGGAGCTACTGGCGAGGAAGCTGATCACGTGTTATTCAGAATGGTGTCATTCGCCGCGGCCAGCCCGTCCCGGCGCTGCCTTCAAAGACTCGTGCATCCTCTTCGCCGAAGACGGGTCCCTGGAGTTTGTCGAGAAAGCGCCGGAGAACGATGTTTACGTGTACATTCCACATAACTTGAAGGACCCAGTGCTTCAGACAGCCGAACACCGTCTGCAAAAGTTTCTCTCGCAAACGTTCTGGCATAACGACTTTGCTTTGGAATGCCAACTTGCGGCGATGGCATTGACGCTGCAGGGGATCAATATTGACAGGTGCTTCTGGACAGTGGGCCCCGGCGGAGTCGGCCAGTCGATCCTGACGCATCTGATCCACAACGTTTTCAGCGGGCTTCATGCTTTCTTGGACACGAACATCTATTTCTCGGACGACGAACTGCGGAAGCAAGCTGACGGTTTGATTGGCAAGCTGATCACGACAGCGCAGGAGGCGGTGGACAACTCCAGGCACGGCTTCAGGGAAGATTTGTTCAAGAAACATATTTCCGCGGACCCCATCGCCGCGAGATTACCCTATGGCATCGTGACGCGCCTGATAGAACTGGTGGGGTGGAAGCGCTTGGAGTTGAACAGGCTCATTCAGTTTACATCTGCATCTGCAACCAGCCTGGACAGCATTCTACGCCGAAGCTGGGTCATCGGGCTGCGCGTGAAAACTTTGTTTTGCCCACGGGTTTCCAGGAACATATAAAGAGAAGGTGTCACTTTCTACCCGCCCCGATTTGGAAATATTCGTTCGTGGTTGTTAGGTGCTATGCCCCGCCCCCCTTCCCTCCCCTGCGGGCAAATTGGGGTTGTTAGATTTCCCATTGCAAAAACGCAATGTGTCAGAGCTCGTGGCGGGGATCGTTCGAAGCATTCTTGGGGCTGCCGCTCAAGGAAGATTCTATTGGCCATGGAAGGGGGGGGGGGGAGGGGGCTAATAAAATCCACCATGCGTTTCGAATGTGTGCCTTTCGCCTTTTCCCCTCCGCCCAAGGTGTGCAAGATCTTGTCCAGATTCAAGTCCGAGGCGGAAGTCAATGCCATCTCAGATGCCGCCGACAAGGGGATCTTCGTGAAGGATCCAACCCTACGTGCATTCGTCAAGAGCCAGGTTGCGGTACCGGCCTTCTGGGAGTTGCTGCGGGGTTTCATGGAGTCGCACTCGCGGAAAAGTGCAGAGGACCTCATAGAAGAGTACGCCACGGGCGGCGACGGCGGATTAACGAGAGATTGCGTGCAGGCTGCGACTGGGTTGTCGCCCGAGAAAGCAGCCGCCGCAGCAGCCGCGGCATTCGACCCTGTCCAGGACGCGACAGATGCTGATCGTTTGCTTGCAGTTCGGATTGCAGGGGCTGCTCTGGATCGCAACTATGAGAGCATTTCCGAACGCGACTTTGTGCACAAGTTTGGCTATGATGTCGTGGGCGGCTCTAATCATGAGCGCAAGGCCGCGTTCGCGCGCCTCGTTGAGCGCGGCCACTTGATCTTCGAGAGGAAAGCTCATCGCGGGCATCCAGTATACGTGCCACTACTACAGGTCAGCGGAACAATGGCAGATCTCGGCTCAGCAGATCGCGACCTCGTTGGACCGGCGCTGGTGGAAACAATTCGCTGCAAAGACCTCATCGAATACGTCCGCAGCGCTGCCCGCGTCCACAACGTGGAAACGTTCATCAGATACTTCGGCGGAGAGGGGGCCGAGAGGCTGAAGAAACGAGGCAGGATCGGCAGGAAAACTGCAGACGATGCTGAGAAACGCGCCGACCTGCTGCAGTCCCTGCGAGCCCAAGAGCCCGTTGCAGACGCAGTGGCGAAGCACGTCGAAGCTTTGGCGGGCGCGGGGCAGGGCGGCGGTGTACCTGAGACAACGCAAGTCCCTACCACATATCAGACGAAGTTCGATGTGCCGTCCAGAAGGTACGTGGTCGGCTTCGGTGCCCAGAGCCTGAATTGGTCCGCTCGTCTGGCCGGGCTGAGAGACGTCGATGATTGGGACATCAAGAAATGCGCGTTCACGCTGGCCCCGCAGATTGCAGAGCGAGCCGAGTTTGCGCTGGGCCAGCACCAGGCAGCCAAGTTTGAGTGTCTCCGTAGATATTCCACGGACACGGCTGCAGTATGCGAGGAGCTCGGCATGACCACAGAGGATGCTAAACGCACGTGCATATCTGTCTTCTGCGGCGGCAATCCGCCCGAAGCGCTCGCCGAGAATAGCTTCCTCTTGGCGTTGGGGCGCGAGGGCATTTATCTTCGCTGGCTTGCTGTCTCATTGAGCCCTGAGATGCACGAGATCTTCGTCAACGATAGTTCTCGGCGGAGCCCGGCTGCGACTACGTGGTTCTACGTGTGGACTTACGTTGAAGATTGCGTCTTATCTGCCTGGGTCCACTTTATCAAAACACAATCCGTGCAGCATTTGAGTTTGCATTTCGACGGCGTCATGGTTGATCCTGGGCGGGTCGGAGATCGGGCAGCCTTCAAGGCCGACTCGGAGAAAGCGGTCTTGGAGGCCACGGACTATTCCGTAGAGGTTGCCTTGAAGACCCACGCGCGCTTTCTGGACATGCTCGTCGGCGACGCGGAGACCGCGGCGCGCGACGACGCCGCTATTCCACAGGTGCTGCTGGCCGCTGGCAACTGCATCATCCTCATGATGGCCAGGCTGACAGACAACGTCGCCGCGGCGGCGTCCATGGCGAACAAGCGCAACAGGGCGAACAAGGAAGCTGCAGAGTGCCAGGTGCGGACGTACAGCAACTGCAGCAAACTCATGAAGCAATTCCTGGTGCCCTCGTTGGAGTTCCCGACTGGAGAGGGCAAATATTTGATCCACGTCGAAAATGGCGGCCACCCGCAATGCGTCGCCGCGACCCTGCACCAGGACGATGTCTGCCATGTGCTCGTGGGGGAGAAAACTTACGAGACCAAGATTTCAACCGTGCGTCGGTGCTGGTCCGCGTCTGCAGACTCAAGGTTTCTTGCTCAGTTCAAGCTTTCGGCCGTGGAGCTCCCGCCAAACACACAGGAACAAGTGCTCCTTGAACTGAAAGCGGGCGGATCGGCTAGCGACGGCTCAGGCAGCTGCGGCGCGCCCTGCACCAAGGGCAAGGGTCTGCGGCAAGACGTCGCCGACGAGTTCGAGACGCACTTGGAATTCTGATTATGCGGGTGCAGGCTCTGCAAGAAGAGCGATACGACTCATGAGGCCATCGTCAATGACCTCCACACCGTGACGACAGTGACGGTCACGCCCTGGCAGTGTAATAGCAAGAAATGTCGATTGACATACGGCCCCAACTTCGCGTGGGTCGGGGGGCGCAAGATGAACACTGCTACTCTCGCCGACCTGGAGTGCGCCGGAGTTGTCTTCATCTCGAGCAAGCGCGGCTTCACCTTGAGATACGTGCGGTACTACGAGGCAATGTTGCTCAGGAACTTCGTCTCGGCCAGGGGCGCAGACTGGGCGCAGAAGGATGTCTTTGACGACGGCGACGGCAGCGGTTGGCAGGGGAAGGAGTTCCCTTTCGACATGCGTAAACGTCACAGCCATGCCATCCTGCGCGTGCTGGCCGTGCAGGAGTTGGAACCGCTCGGCAAGCATCTTGATGTCTACGTGGAGGAGGATATCAGCGAGAGCGCTCTGAGGACATGCGACGACCACCTCCACAAGCGCGTCTATCCGCCCGCCAACTCAGCTTGCGTCGCTGAGCTAGTGGGCGACGGCCACGAGAAGGCGCTGGTGCGCTGCAGCGGCGGCCGTGGCCTGCCTGGAGGGAAAGTGCTGAAGAGGCCTTCGGCTGCTCGCAAGTTCGCTGGGAAGGCCTTGACGAAAAAGCCCGCTGCCGCGAAGACTCGCTCCAAGCCCAAGCCTGTCGCGAAGAAGACCGCCGCGGTTAAGAAGCCCGCGGGGACCAAGGCTGGCACGAAGCGCATAGCCCCGAGGTCTCTACACCACAACAACGGGTGGTTTATGCTTCTGACCACGAGTGGCCGCGTGGTGGCTGTGACCGAGCAGTCCGCGCCAGAGGGCAACGACGTGGTCAAGTCCACCATCCTAAGGGTTCTCCCGCAATATCCGAGGGTCAACTGCTTCATGTACGACAAGGCATGCTCGGTGATGCCTTCGGCGCTGCTGGACGACCAGTTCAATCAGATCAAGTACTGGGTCGGCGACAGGCTGCACGCCCAGAAGCACGTGCCCACCTGCGCATGTAATCCGCTGACAATGCGTCGCTTGTAGCTGCGTACCAGCGGACTTAACGCCCAGGTGGCCGAGCAGTGTTTCTCCTGGTTTCGCGGCTACTCGCGGATTTTCAACGAGATGTCGCCCAGCCGCCACCGCTTCTTCGTCCTGTACTTCGTTGCCAAGCACAACTCAATGTTGTCTGCTGGCGACACTGATCACCTAGGGCACCCGGCGGCAGTTGCCAGCAAGGTTCACAAGAAACCCAGTGGGCATTACCCGTGCGCTTAAAGCGACGGTATTCCACGTGCGTGTAGGGAGGGCGGGCATGCGCGCCGCCACCCGTAAAAAGGCCAGTCGCGATTCTTGCGCGCGCAGACGGACGCCAGCATAATCCACAACAGATCAAAGCAAGTGGTGCTTCTAAGCTGCGTTCGCACCTGTTCACGTCTATGTATGTATGTGCGTATGAATATATGAACGCTTTATTGTTTGCACCATTGATGGACGTACTACTACGTACACGCGTGCGTCTTCATGCATATGTTTCAGTATATGTGTACGGACATATAGTTGTAGTTGGAGATGTATCGTATGCGTATGTGTGTACGCGTATATGTGTGTATATATATATACGCAACATCAACAGCGCCAACAGATCGGACGATATTTCGACTATCTCATATACCATCTTGATACGGCCTGTGCGGCCGAGGGGGCTCCCAGAACACCCCGGCCTCAAAAAAACAGGGGCGCCTTGAGCCACCCGACCAGCGTGGGTATCGTACCGCATAATTGTACGTACTTCATGTTCCTGCGAGCTTCTTATTAATGGCCTGCGCTTGCCGCACCATTCTCTGCGCGGTCTCTGATAATGACGTGACGAAGTTCAACTTCGATGCGTCCCCATTCACTGCGCGCCGCTGTCCAGTGCCTGGATCTGGGTACGTGCCTCGCAGTGCTTCTACTATGCTTATGGCAGCCTGTAAAGTCGCGACCCGATTCGTCCTCCCTCTGCTCATGATCTGCAAACAGTCGCATGCTTCGGGGCGTATTTAAGGCGCTTTGGTACAACAAGGACGACATCGTGAATCCGAAACGCCAGTCACGTCTGAGCTGAGATTCCACGCGGCGTGTCATGATTCGTGTCCACAGCGGAAGTCCCACGCGGGGTGCCTCACCGACACGGCGGTGTCGGCTCACTTCGGACCATTCTGGCAGATCAGACATGCCTACTCCAAACTTGAAGCAGAACGGACAAGCGACGCCGAAGAACCACGGAACGAACTGCCTCATCATGGCCGTGTCTGGAGACACCACGAGGCGCAACCGCATCTTTTCCATCCACGTCCCCCGTCCGTTCACGCCCATGAGCACCAGGTTGTGACGCTGCGACGCTTCTCCGAGCCCCGCGATGTCCGACACTCCTTTGCATGTGCACCGTACGCGGCCATTGTCTTGGTCGTTCAATAGACTGGTAGCCATCGCGACAAAATGATCCCGCCATGCTTCGTACGCGAACAGAACTCTCGCACGTTCTTCTGCACGCAGGGTTTCGCCACCGCCACCATGCCCGTCCGTGCCTTCTTCATGAACGCCGCGCGTCATGTGCTGCAAAGCTGCTTCCGTCATAGCGTTTTCATCTACCTCGTTGAACGACGATCTCTCCATGACCACCATGTTCGGAATTATTCGATCAATCTCGTCACAAGCGTCTTGCACCGTCGCCTGCTTCGCATCCGATGGCGTCGTATTCTTTTGCACCATGATCTTATCCAAATGATTGTCATACGGAAGCAACCGCACGAGTTCGGGCGGGACGCCATTCTCTGGAAGTTGCTCGGCCCGAGCATCTACTGCTGCAACGTCCACGTGCATGTACGCCCTATGCCCGTTAGCGATCATATTCTTGATGTGGTGCTTCACCACGTCCCGCCGTGCGGTGACTTGATGAATGAATGTCGGCAAGTTATCCTTTGACGTCGCGTCACTCACCTTTAACAAAAGTTGCACAACATGGGAGAGATCGTGGCCCACGCGCGGGACAGGCGCACCACCCGCCTGCTCACCTGACGCTACCCTTCTCCGAAGCTCTGACAAGATGCCCTGCCATGGGAGGGCGAACGAGGTTGCATTCCCCCGAGCCGCGACTCGCGTCTCCTGCATCCCAGCGACGGAATCAAATAAGTTCAGGTATTTCACCTCCAACGAGAAACATAGCATGGCAGTTATGCGCGGACTGCAACAAATCATCTCCATGACGGTCATCCCCTCGTCGTACATGCTTTTCGGACCGTAAAACGACATCAGATCGTTCGCCAAGCATCGCGCAGGCATCACTGGAACCATCGCGTGGGACGTTTCGTTCCACGCCCGTTTCGGAGTATCTATACCTTCAAAGCACTCCCGACATAACGGAGTTTCGCATTGAGTACAGACTTCGCGCTTTGCCCGACATCCAGCACTGCACCGCTGGTCTTCTGGACAACATATCAACTCCAGGTAGCCCCGAGGCACTCCAGTAGACGACGCGCGCCATACATTCACCGTCCAGGTCGTCGAACTCGTCGATGCGCTTCTGGAGGTCGAGTTTATCGTTCCCGTCTTCATACCTGTACCGGCTCAGATATGCCGTGAGACTCAATTCCTCAAGCACCTCCCACATAGACCACGCTCCCATGTGCGTCAGTCCACTGTCATCCCGCGCATCGCTCTCAAACACTCGCTCCCACGATATATCATTATTTTCCGTCCCGGCACCCACGGAAACGAACAGCCGCACATGAAACAGATCGGCGATGCTATCTTTTCCTGTGCCACTGTTTCTGCATGTGCTTTCAGACTTCTCCGATGCGTCGCATACGACGATATTGGAGCTCCTTGCCGCACGGCGTACGCGACGACTTCACTGTAAGCACTGAGTACTCGCTTGTGCAGCTAATGCGCGGGCGAATACATGTCCGCGATCGGCTGCACGACATCGCTGTGTGCAGCGCCGACATGGTCGAGAAGCTCAGACTCGTCTACGCCAGTCCAGGGGCAACCTCGGCAAACACAGTGAGTTGGCGGCAGTTCAACCGCGTCGTTCTCAACCAAAGCTGCCCCCCACGGTATATTAGGGTCTTCAGGAGCCGCGGGCACAGTAGGGATCTCCCGCAACAGCTTCGCAGCCGTTGCCACCGCTTCTTCCCGTGCTCGTCGGGAATCATTCGATGCTGGGTTGACGCGCGCTGTAAAAAACATCTCTTGCGTGTATCCGCCTCTGGGACTGCACCCACTGCGGCGCAATCCTGCACTGGCTTGTTGAGGTTGCTGGCTGCTGCTGCGCCCGCGGTCGTCCCAGCGCCTGCCTCGGGCTCGTTTCTGCACGACTGGCCACAAATCTTGGACGAACAATGTGCGGGCTCTGTCGCGCTCGTTCTATACGAGTCGCAAAACGTTTCTCTCTGCTTCCCCCAGCGCCTCGTTCGCCTCACCCGCGTCCCCTCGGCGGCCCCTGCGCCCTCCTCCGGCTGACGGTTCCCGACAGGAGCGCCATGCAAAAACGGAGACGCACCATGTGCACCATCTCCTGCCCTCGATGGCGCGCGCGCTGATGTAGACTCTGTATCGACGCGGCCCACAGCCATCTCGCTTTCCAGCGACGTTTTGGCAGCACCGCCGTCGTCTACGGATTCTGCATGTCCACGGTTCGCTCCACCCAGCTCGTGCGTAGCTTTTTCCGTGTCGGTTGTTGCTGACGACATTGGGGGTCTGTCGCCCAACAACAGCGGCCCTTCCGTTGACGACGCCGCTTCCGTGGCGCCATCTGTCGGCACGACTGCTTCCGTTCGGTGCCTGGGAAACGCCACAAGGGCAATGTCTCTCTGACTCTTCGAGCTCTCTGCAAACTCCTTGAACTCCATCCGCACCACCACGTTGTCGTCGAACCTTACGACACCGACGCCGGGGCAGTCGAAGTAGGCGACGCAATGAGCCTGGGTGCTCCAGATGGCAAATCGCGCCCTGGAACTGGCATGTCCAGCCCGACGTTCCTGGCCACTCGAACGCCCTTGGCACGATCACGCGGGAATTCACTCTAGTCACTCCGTCCGCCATTCTTCTGCTCAGGACCACAGCAAGGAATCTGGCAGGTGTCTCCGATGGCACGTCGTGAATTTGCGACGGGCCCGGGCACCCATGCCACGCCTCTCCGTCTCGCAAGGCGGGTCGATGCGGGCATGGCAAACCGTGCTGGGCTCGCGTGGGTTCTAACGCTACGAGATGCCCCAGACCAGCTGGTCCCAACATATCCGTATATTCCCACATTTGGATTACCATGGATCGTTCTCGCCTGTAAACATCCGACACCCAGCCGCATCCGCCGCAGAACCGCCTTTGACGGATGGTGCTTCCCAGTATGGACCCGTCTACTAGTGTGTAGTGCTGCGCCGGGATCCCCATGCCCGCCAACGCACTCGATTCTGCAGCACAGACAGCATCAACTAAGGCGCTCCACAGCTCGCTGGCGTCGCATTGGCGAGTGCGCCTAAAGTCATTAGTGCGACCGCGCTGGAACAACCCATCGCGCACCGCTCGCACTCCCGGTACTTGTTCGCTTTTATCCACAGGAAGGTCACCCACGGCTGCGCCCATCAGATCCGCCTGCTGTGCCAACGCACACACACCGCATCGATGACGCCGTCGGACGCTGCATCCGCGTCGATGAAGCAACACCGCGTGCCGAATGGGTCCCAGACGCAGTAACACTTGCAATGCGGCGTTTGCAAAACACGAATTTCCCATGTTCGGCATGCCCTGAATCCGATGTTGAACGCACGCCCAGGCCCCGTCCTCCAGCATGACATGAGCCGAGTCACCATACAACGCGGCCGCCAACTCTTCTTCTGACGCACCGGGTCGCACGAACTCCAACAATGTGCTCTCGTTTGGGCTTTGCGCCTGAATGTGCTCCACGGTTGCGCCCCCTTCCGTGTCGTGCCGCTCTTCCCCTGCCACATCGGCACTTTCACGTGCGCCATCCGCGCAGGTCGGCCATGTCTGGGCGATATCGGATGATGGTACCGAGGTGCTACCCCCAACCGCAGAACGCAGCGACGGAGCATGGTCTGCTTCTCCCTCTACAGCATCGCGCGCGAGCACATCTCCCCCGCTGACCACGCGAGCAACGCGCTTAGTAGACATCCATAGAACTGCTCCTGCGCACACGCCGTGGTTGTCGCCAAGCTTCGATCTATGCCGCGACGCGGCTGTCATTACTTCTTGCACGTCCTTCGCTTCATACACCCGCA